GCAAGCTCTACAACAGTCTACAGCATGATCTAATCTTCATGCTCAACAATATCTATCACCGTAAAACCCATAGACACTAAAAACGATTGTTTGATAACGATGTTACCCACTACATTTGTATATTTTATTCCATGACAGAATTACCCACCTGCCACCACCACAACTATCACCAACACTGGGCAATAGGCATCCTGTATGTCTGTGATCTAAAAGAAGAAAAAAAATTCCATACTTTGATACTTTCATTTCCCAGTTTGCTTCGCTGGTACCAGTCGTCGTACTCTTTTATGTCGCGCTGCGGATCGCGATAGCAGTCGTTCTTTGGTTTCTATACATTTTTTTTTTCAAATTTTTTTTGTTATTTATTTATCGTATAAGTAAACACTTTTTTTGTTTGTTAAACTATTTGATTTTGTCGCAGCCGAACGAACACTACGGCGTATGTATATAGATTTTGTACTTCAGTTCAACGCTCGTTTAGGTCGGTCATTAACGTACGCGCTAAAAAGTTAAAATTCTCGCTTGTTACGGGGCAGCAACTACGGACTACGGAAGTCAATTTTATTGGTATTCGCAATCGGTGTCGGTTATCACTGTTCAATAATAACAATAATAATAATAGTAATAATAAATAAATAATAATAATAGTAATTAGTGTAATATTAACAAGTAACTATTGCCGTTCGTCCGTTATTCGCGCACAGGAAACAAATAACGATATCGTCTTGTACACCAACAGGAGACAACTGTTTTGTTCCTGATTATCTGCATTTTTACGGGTCTACAGTCAGCTTTAGCTGTCCCTTTCGTCGTGTTTGTTGTTCGTGTGTTCCTTACATGCCCGATATTGCAGCTTGAAAAAAAAAAAGGCGTCCAGATATTTGGTCGTTTTTTCGTTACGAAGGCTTTCGTCGTCGACATGTCTGAAATGGTCAACGACAATGACAAGTTATCGAAATCACTGGTGGATGGCAGTAATGAAGGTAAAGACTCAAAATATTCATTCTATGTACATAAATCTACAAAATTAAATTTAATGTTTTGAACTATCATTATCATTAGATAAATCTGACCTAGGTCGAAGATTTATTTAGTTATTTGTTTATTGTTCATCACTCTTCATACTTCATTTATTTAACATTCTGTTTTTTAGTCACCTCTTACTATAGTAATTAGACTTCTGGCATATTTGATATTATAATTATTTATAGATAATCAAAAATAACTTGTCAAAAATGTTTTTGTAATTTAATCAATAACTAATTAAAATATTGTACCTATTACCTATCTAATACACCTATTTAAAATTGTTTTATAAACTATCTTAGTTGTATTAGATAGTTCGAGTCATAAACATTTTAAGTACCTATTCTATTTTTCTTCACTATTTCAATGTAAATGGTGACCAAGAGGTCACCATTTAGTAGTTCTTTGTTAATTTTTTTGAAACTGTTTCTTCTGCCAAAAAAAAAAAAAAAAAATATAATTAGTATAAATTTTAATTAGGTATATCAGAAATACTAATAATTAAATATCCAAGTGAATTATAGGTAGTAAAATATATATTTTAGTTTTTGATCGTTGTATACATTATGTTATCAAAATTTTTTTTTTTTTAATGGTGTAAGTAGTTTGAATTCATCTTACAAAATTAAAAATATTTTGATGAATGTTAAATCTTATGCATAAGCATATGTTTTTGTTGTAATTATGATCACTAAACAATTATTTATTATAAACTTAATTGATTGAATACAAAAGTGTAGATAATTTAAATATATATAGAAAATAATCATATTTTATGAATTACCTACTATTCAAAAATGGATAAACTTAGTTAAAAACTAAAACCATGAATAAATATTTTGTCTATGTTATACATTGTGATCTATGAATAAATCCTTTTACTATACTGAATAAAATATTAGGTAATCTAATTACAAGACTTATTTTTAGAATAATTTTTTCATATTTTCTCTGAAATTAATTTTTAATGTAATCATTTTTTATGTTAAACAATCTTATAATTGTAAAATAAACATATAAAAAAAAGTATCTTTCATTCTTTTATTTTTGGCAGACTCATATTTCTAGTGTGCCTACACTATTTTATGTTAATTATTGTAAGCATTTAAAATATGTATTTTTATAACTACTCTAATTATTGTAATAAATTATAAACATTGTTCTGTAAATAAATCTAATTTTCTGGCAGATCACAATTAATCAATTAAGTTAGTACATAATCGGTATATATAAAGAATACTGTTCTGAGTAGCTAATTCATGATTAACACAGAACCTATTAGAGTTATCGACTAGAAATTTTGAGGGTAGATCTAAGTTATAATTTTACTATGCACTAAAAAAGAAGTTTTCAAAATTTTAATTTTAAGGGGTTGAAATTGGCAAAAAACAAAATGTTATCTGTGGATTATATACATCAATGAGTAAGCATTTATAAGCTGTGAATCTCACATTTTTAAGCTTTTTTTCTCTTGGACAATTTTATGTAGCGTACTCCAAAGTTATAAATTATTATTTTTTATTATATACCTATTAAAATGTGGTTAATTTACTAGTTTACTATTAAACAATTATCTAAAGATTCAATAACAAAAATTGGAATATCAATTGTGTTGATTATTAATAATTTTATTTATTATTTATAATTTTATCTATTATTATACTTAAATAGTAAATACAAGTTGCAATGTATTAGATTTTCTATGCTGATATTTATTTTGTGTGATTGATACTGATGTGGCTGAATGGGTTAGGTTAATGGTTTATTAGATAAAAATGATAAATCAAACAATTTTAATAATTCAAATTTAAGTAAAGTTGTATGTCAAATATTAAATAACATAGGTACTCTTAATTTGTCATTATCTTTTATAATATTATACCTACTAATTACAGGCATTTGTTTTTAGGTTTAGTTTTTGAATATATCCTTTAATTTGAATGTCATAATCTGCTGTTATTTATTGACTAATATTGATAGTAACTTATATTAGCCACAATTTAAAAAAAAAAATACTTTGTTTTCAAATAATTCTGTAATTCAACAATAGCTGTTCAGCCATTTAGTTTTGTTCATAAGAATAATTAATAAGTCTGTCTTTATCTATTTGATTAGGAAATATTTTATCCTATATTTTGTAACGACCTATCAATGTGAATTTATGAGATAATATTATTTTAATTATATTAAAATTAATTGAATATTTAAATAACTATTATAAAATAAATATTCACCTTAACTGTTTTGTTTATGAGATTACTGTGTTATTTTTATATTTTGTTACTCCCTTATTCATATTGTAAATTATATATTCTATAGGTAGGTATTCAATTTAATTTTTATATCCTTTTTAATATTAGTAAATAATTTATTTAAAAATTGATGTAACATATTATGTTAAAATATGTACTTATTACACTACTGGTTCTTTTCGAGTTGTTTACTTTTTCTGAACTAGTCATAACAAAAATTGTAATTGTTTGATTAGTTGATAGATATTCAATTTGTTTTGTTAGATAAATCATATTTTAGGTGCCTAGTTAAATGCATTATTTCATGGTAGGTGGTAGGTTTAGAGTTTTAGGAATAATATTATGTAAATCTTTAATTGTTTATTGTATTATTATTTTTTATAGAATATAATATAATGTGGTATTTAAAAAAATGTAAAAGTTTAAAGTAGTTAATTTATCAATAGTTTTTATTCCATTGCAGAAATTACAAATTATACATAATAAATTATATTATATTTAATGTCTATTATTTTAGTGTATACTTATCAAAGCTTATATTGGATAATTTTTGGTAAGGTAATTTTTATGCATTTTTTATTCATATTCTTTTCTATTTAATACAAATTCATTGATAAAATAATTATTTTAGAAAATAATCATGCTTTATATTTAACAAATATAGTTAGTCGGTTTTTATCAATCAAAAACTAAATTCAACATCAAATATTCTTTTGTATTTATTTATTTATGTTACACACATGACTGGCTATTTATTAGAGTTTAGCCAATATTAAGATAATATTATCATAATACATTACCTATATAGATTGGGGGAAATAATTCACTGATTGTTTATTATTAGAAAATCATTTTAAGAAATTCCAATTTGTTTTTATCAAAGAAAATAATTCAGTTGGATTCTATAATTTTTATTAGTTATTACCTGCATGCATTTTGTTACTAAAACTTTCTTATTTAAACAGTATAATATATAAGAATGTTTAATTTTAATTTGTGATTGTCTAGTATTTAATTATAAAAATTGACACCATGGATAATAGAGTTATTAAAAGTCGTAAACGACATTCTGGTATTCAAGGTCATATGTTAAAAAAAGTTCTGAAAACCATGCCTCATAGTAAAGAAAATATTCCAGAACTACCTTTAAATTATAATAGTATGTTTACAAAAAGCCTTAAAAATTGTTTAGGTTTGTATATTAATGTGTATTTATTACTTTATACTTGTGTATTTTATTTTGAATAATAAGTTATTTAAACTTTTAAACTTGATATATTTACAAAAGTATAAAATTTTCAATTTGAATAATATTTATTTGTATTACTAAAAATAAACTAAAACATTTATAGGTATAACAACAAATGAAATGGAAAATGAAACAGCCATTGAAGACAAAGTTAAAGTAGTAAGATTTAAACAGCCAAAACAAAGCTATACCAAAGCCGCTTTGCTAGAATTACAAAACTTGAGCAGTTCTAAACTGCGTCCAAAATTTTTAGACAACTTTCCTGACTTAGATATAGAACTTGCTGGAAAAACTCGAAAGTAAGTTTCAATTTTTATATTCTACAAGTTACACAATAAATTATTTTTGTTGCTTGTTAAATAAAATGACTTAAATGTTTAATAATTTGTATGACACAATTTAATGGTTATTGATTTGTTTTTTTTACAGAGGAAGTAGACCTGTTGCCAGTGGAAAACCAACTACTACTACTAAGACAGTAGCATTTGATTTACCACCTTGGCAAAACCAACCAATAGAAAATGGTGAACCTAAAACTGAGATTAGTTTTATATTTTTATTTTATTAATATTTGTTAAAAATATATTTATTCAAATAATAATGAAACTAAATATTCACCAGTGTTTGTCAAAAAAATTGAGATAGTGTTTTAACTTTTACTTGATTGTGTCTCTGTATATTTTAATATATTAATATACAAGTTAACAGTATGTTTACACCTTTTTCACATTTCTCATAGTCTAAATATTCATTTAAATATAATAAAATATATAGGGTTAATTTAGGCTAAAGAATATTGAGCGTTTTGGTATACAATTGTACTATAAATAGTTATTGTAGAATTGCATAGGACTGAATTTCTAATGAAGTATGTTGATGAATTTTATAATAAACTTAAAACATTTATCAATTTAGTTTATGAAATTATTTACAATAGGTATCAAATTTAGTCATTATTTTTGTATTTAAGAACTATATTTTTAAACTCTTGAATTTAGACTTTTATTGCTGTGTATAGTAATAGTAGTTAAATTACCTAAATGGTACATCAACCCAATACAAATATATTAAATAAGATTTATTTTTAAATATTACATATAAATGTGTTATTTTCATTTATTATTAATAATTTTCAAAAATCAGAATTGTTAATTGATGTCTTAGTAAGGTGTTAATGAGGTCTCATTTTTCCAAATATTTAAATAACAAAATTAATTCAGGATATTGTTAAATGATATTATTAATTTTTAATAATTTTTAACTTAGAAAAAACCACAGGATGCAAAAGATCGTTTAAAAAAGGATCAAGATATTGTTTTGAGTCCTCAAAGGCGTAGTTTCAATTCAGGATGTTTTGTTACTATGAATGCTTCTAGTGGACCAAAACGATCAAATAGTCCTTTAAATACATCTGCTAAACAATATGTTGAAAGGTGAGGTGCATTTTATTTGATTTGTATTTTTTTATTATAAAAAATTACATATTTAGAGAGCCTATTCGAGAACCTCGTCGAGTTGGTAGTGGTCGATTAATGAGTCGAGATTCTTGGGATTCTGGTTTTCGTCAGTCAGAAAATGGAATCACAAATAATTATAACTTTGGTAAAGGAAGCGGCTTTCGTGAATCTTCATCTCATAACTCAATGTTTGTATTTTTTACTATATTTTAAATAATTGATCTACTATTATTTATTCAATAATATTTGTTTTAGTGAACCTCGTAGAAAAGATTTTGAGTTTGATAGAGGAGAAACAGATCGTTATAGAAATTATGATCGCTTCAAAGGCTCTAGTAATTATGATAGGCGCCGAAATGATTCTTATCGTACACAAGAAGAACCGGAATGGATGACAGGTTAATTAGTTTTTATTAAAAGATTGAGAATATCAATAAAACATATATTGTCTCCATCTTACAAATATACAACAAAAAGTTTATGTTATTAACTTTATTATTGGGGCATGACGTGGCTCAGTGAATGCATCAGTTGCCTGAAGGTGCTAGTGTTATTTTTTAAGCTAGGAGTTTTGTTGCTAGTTCCTGACTAGGTGACCACCTAAAAATTTTAGCAACACACACACAATGTCTTACCTAACCATAATTGTCAAGATGAAAAAAGAATCTAGATAAAATATATTCTAACAAAAAAAAAAAAATAAACTTAAATATTAAAGTAAATAGCTATGTTTACTAATTTAAAGGTAAAAATATTATCAATGGCACCTCATAGGATTTTATTAATAATTTAATTTTAGGCTGAGTTATTACTTGAAACTAGGGCTTATGAGTTCATGCCCTAAAAAATACCTAAATAAGTAAACACTTATGTACTAAAAACTGTCAAAATATGCCTTTAAAAATTAAAAAATTTATTTTTAAGCCTAGGCATTTTCTTAAATAAAATAATACTATCATTCTTGACAGTTTTTTTTAATTGATTAATATATTTTTATTATCAAAAGATGGTCCAACTTCTCAACATGATACTATTGAGTTACGAGGTTTTGAAGATCCACCTGTTGACAAAACTAAAAAGAAAAAAACTAAACCTGGTAAGTAAATATTGTCCATCACTGTTATGACTAAAAATTATTTCAATGTAATAATTATAAAATATTTAGCTCCCCGTACTAAGAAAAATTCAATTGACTCTACATCCACGGAATCAGCAGCTGCTATTAAAGGAGCTAATGAGACTAAAATAAAGAAAACTAAAAAGGAAAAAGATGAAGATAAAAAAAAAAAGCCTACAGTTGAAAAACCCAATGTAAAGTTATTTAAATTCACATTTTTAATTATTTGAAAATCATGATTATTGTTTTGTTTAGAATGAAGACCAAACTAAAAAAGATTCTGAATCAATAACTGGAAATGAGTTTATTCAAGCTTATGATGCTGAGCATAAAACAAATGACAGTGTATTCAATGATTTCAATATTGATGATTTCTTAAAGCCAGATTACTTAAGTGATATAATGCATATTGAAGGGGAAACGGATGGAAATGTAGCTGGTTCACGATTCCGCCAATGGTTTACTACACATGATAGTAGCCGTGCTTCATCTGCTTCTACTGAAATGTTAAATTCTGCAACTAATAGTAGGATATCATAACTTTTAAATACATCTATTTATTTTATAGTAACAATTGTATAGAAAAATGGTATCATGTTTGTAGAAAGCGTAACAGATAATGCAGAAGAAGATCCTAGACAGTTATCATCAATGCTAATGGGAATGGTTAAAAATAATAGTCAAAATGAATCAAAAAATTTAACAAATGCATATGATTCTATCACGTCAAGTGAAAATAATAAACTTCCTCCAGCTATCATGGATGTTATTAAAGCCAGTGCACCTCAGTTGACTGACCCTAAAGCTGCCATACGTGATTTAGGTAATTTTCGCCTTCTATTTTATAGTTGTATAGTTGTGGTTAATTGGCTATATTCTTAATAGAGGTTAATGGTAAAGTTCAAAGTCTTGAAGAAATTGAATCTAGATTACGTATGTCTAGTGGACAACAAAATGGTTATTCACCACCACATAACAATATTCAATTCCATGAAGAAATGAAATTAAAAAAACTACAAAACATGAAGGCAAGTGTGAATATTTTAAATTATAATAAGATTATTAAACTTGAATGATATAATATTTAGATGTCTCAAAATGAGCATGAAAACTCTAACAACGATGGACATGTAACAAACAGCTCTCAAAACTATTCCATACTGCAGGTATTAAATTTTATTTTTGTAAAACTAAATGAATAAAAACTTTTTAGAGAATATAATTTTAATAATTAATAAAATTAAATAATTAAATTACAGATGCTGAATAATGCTCAAGGACCACCAAACTATATGGCAAACCAAGTACAAAACCCTACTGGTATGTGCTTTTACTTAAAAAATATATTTTTGTAAATTGTTTGGTTTTCCTAAAAAACGTATCAATCAGCACTAAAAATGATATTTAATTATATAGCATATTTATTATTATTCTTATAATCAATTATTCATTTTAATAGAATATAAATTATAATTACCTCAATGATTATGTAATTTTTATTTTATTTCATGTAAAAACAGTAGGTCCTTATGGTCATTCAAATAATTATCGTGGTCAACAACCAAATATGCAAGTTCCTAATGATCTCGTTATGAAGCTCATGGAAGCACAACAAGTAAATAAATTAAATTTATATTTTATTTATTAGAAATAATTTAATTATCAAAGATACCTTTCTTTATTATCTCTTATAGTTTATATCAATGAATATAAAACTTTATTAAAGTAAAATATTTTAGAACTTTTAATTTGTAGTTTTTAAACAGTTATTTAATATTAACAAATAAAACTAATGTTACTTTTAAAAATATAATATTAGTAAGTTTTTATTCAAAATTTTGAAACTATTATTTTATTTATGAATAAAAAACATATATATTATAAAATATTTCATATAATGACTTGCTTCAATTTATAAAATATTGAAATGTATGTAATTTTGTAGTTAAAAATCCAAAAAAAAATTGTAATTTTAACACTAAAGCTTGAAAATATAATTTTTAATCATTTTTCAAGTTTTTTTAGAAGAATTTAAAAAAAATTTAATATTTAGCTATAATTTATATTTTCTAGATGTATTTTTAAAATTTTAATTTTGTTAATATTGATTATTCAATAATGTAAGAATATAACAATTTATCCTCTAATAATTTTTGTTATTTTCATAAAATATTAACCTTAAAAACTACAAACTAAATTCTGTATTTGCTCTTAATATCACTCTTTACACAAAGTTGAACATATTTAGAGTAATTTTAAGCTATAAATACATATTCACATAAACCATAATATGACAGTATTGACTTATATTAATAATAATAGTTTATTACTGTCAATAAATATAATGTTATATAATGATATATATATACAATAATGAAATATGTCAGTATTGAATTAAAAGGTTTAATGTAGTTAGTATGTAATAGTTAAAAATCTCTTGTTAGTTATTATATTTAAATAGTTATTGATATATAGTTTGTTTTTGATAAAACTTAGTTAAACTTAAATATTATTATTCAAACAATGAACTACAAATATCGATATAAATATAATATAACATATTAAAAATATAGATTATTAATCTCTACCCAAAATGGTTTTTATGTTTTAATGATAAAAAAAAATGAATATGATTAAACTCATCACATCCGTTTTTAGTTTTGAAATTTAAGATGTTATTTATTGATTGTATTCAGATGTATACATATCTTATGCAATTTTTATATGTTTTTATGTTTATGTATATCATACATTTTAATAACAAATAATACATACATACATTCATATTTTAATTTGTTTATTAAGGTTATATTTAATTTTTTTGATAAAATTAAAATTTTGACAATCATAAAAAAAAAAAAAACATAATTTTATAGAATATAATTTGTTTTTATAATAAATTAAAAATATATTACTATTATTTGTTAATTTAGATTCAAAAGCAACATGAAAATATGGTAGCAAAAGCAATGGCTGCTCAACAACAACAACAACAACAACAGTCTAAGCAACATATGTTCAAACTTCCTGCAGAACTTCAAAATATGGTCAACTTTTACACACCAACCAAAGATATATTGCAAAGCCGAGAAGCTCAAGAAATGCTTATGGGTATAATATATTTATATTATTTTTTTAGTATGAAATATTAATTATATATTAAATTATACATTTTTTTTAAATAGGAATTAAACGTGGTGAAGTAATGCTACATCATTTAGTAGAGCAATGGAAAAAGACTAGTACTAATCAGTCTCGTTATCGTGAAACTCTTATTTGTCTTATGAAAGTATTTCAACATTCAAACAGTATGTGTTTGATTATTATATGATACTATTGAAAAATATTAATATTTTTTATATTAAAAAATGCATATATATGATTTCAGATGCCCAACGAATGGCTAATCAACAACAGGATTTAGTTTACCAACAACAGCAAGCTGCATTATACCAAAGCCAAATGCTTAAAAGACAATTACTTGACCAAACCCATAAAAGGATGGAAAATGTATGCCTAAGTTTTAGAAGATATATTTGTTTAAATTAATTTATAATAAATAAATAAATATGTTTATTTTGATAAGGTTCATAATGCATCATATGGAGGAGAAGGCACTATGGATTTAGGCTCATCTCAGTCACAATCTCAACCAAGAATTGGTCTTACTCCAACATCTGTTTTACGTAAGATGACTTCGACCTCAGAACCTTTGGTAGACAAACACCATATACCTGATGAAAGATCTGGTTAGATATAATATTAACTTATTTTTACTTGAATTTGTTAATAATTAAATTATCAATCTGTTGTTTAGTTACCCAGCATGCGCTTCAGCATCAAATAAACACTCTGCAACAACAAATGCAACAACAACAGTTTATGCAACAGCAGCAACAGCAGCAGCAACAACAGCGGCCAGTCAATACAACTATTCAGCAAATACTGAGTGGTAACTATCCTAGATACCATGGAGCACAACAACCACAGCAGCAGCAGCAGCAGCAATTGAACAATATGAATGGTCGCAGTAAGCTTTTTTTTTATTTGTTTTATTAGTGTAGTAAAAAGTTAAATACATTCTTTTTGGCATTTAAATAAAATTCACCAACTTCAAATTCTAATCAGTTATGAACATTCAATAGGAGTTAACATAATGTTTGTTTAATGTTATTTATAGGTATAAATTATGGCTCTGGGGATAAATCGCGCATGAACCGGGTACAATCTCCTGTTAGCAATCAACTTGCACGTTGGTTTTCTCCAGAACTGTTAGCACAAGCTCGTGCTGGCCGTTTACCAAACATGCCTGCTATGTCACAGAATGTAAACATGCTCAGTGTCGAGGATATCGAAAAGTTCCAGGTTGGTGGTCGTTCTTAATTAGTGAAAATTGTGGCACTTTACAATTTTTGTGTAAAAATCATAAAAAACCAAGAAAAAAAAATAAACAAGTTGTTATTCCTTTTAAATATTTATAGGGCCCTTCTCCAAGTCTCAATATTTTCTTTCTTTTCCTTCTGTTTTATTATGAGGTTCTTAATTTAATATACGTTCAGTGTTTTTTCCCACTGACCTTTTTTTTAAAATTATTTCCTCAAAGCAATTAAGAATTGTTTTTCTTTTATTTTTGCATGTTTAAACAAAAAATTAACTATTATTTTTTGAAAAAATTGTAATTTTATTCTAATGAACTTGAATTGCATACTTATTTTATATAATACATTATAATTTCTTAAAGATTATGAACCTCTTGTGTACAAAAATTCATTATTATATCTTTAGAAATCAATGTGTATATAAGTACAAAGAATTATTTTCTTATGTACCATTTATCTGTGATGTTAGAAGTTGTATATGAAATGTAAGTTTGATAAGTCTTTGTATTACTAGAGTTAAACAATAATAATAATAAACAATTAAACCGCTACAACGGGGAAATATGTATGAAGAAATAAACTATTGTAATTGTAATATATATACTTATAGTTTTTGACAAACTCATTTCCATTGTTTTCTTAGTGCTCAGTGAGTAAATGTTTTCTTTACGTTACACATATATGTCACATGTAAACATATATATATTATATATATATATATGCATGTTATATTAAACAAATGTTATTATTATATATTTTTTCATTTTGTATTTTTCATTTATTAAATAACTAGAACAACTTACATTAATTACATATTATAATTATAATATGTAGAGTACATTAACGACAATAACAACAAAACAATTACCAACAGTTTGATTTACAGAAAAAGAAGTTAAATGTGCAAAGGATATGTTTAATACTTCATAATAGTAAATAAACATCTGAAAATTGTTAAACTTTATTTTTATTATATAATATAATATATAAAATGATAAAACATAACAGATACAATTAAAATATTACTTGTTAAGTGCACAAAAAATAGTCCAGCTTGTGGGGTAACCATAATAAAAAGTTAATAGCCACTAATAAAGAAGCCTTCACCTCAAAATCATTCTTATGTATTATACTTGTAAAGATGTTTACTACTCGAGGGGTGGGGGGGGGGGGGGTAATTAAATGTCAGTGGACCAATAAATTTTAGATAATAACAAAGAATAATAAACAGAAAAAAAAATACATATATATTAATAAATTTGTAGAACACGCCTGTAATAGGACACATTCTTAACAAAAATTCACATACAGAATACTATGTTACATAACGTGTATATATTGATCAATTTCCACTTATAATTCGTTTTAATTTAATTTGACGGAGCTTGCTGTAAAGTAATGTTTACATTTTTTTGATCATCTGCAACAGCTTGCTTACACGTGATGGTGGTAGTCGAGTTACTAGTGGTCTTTAAAGCTCCGACTGAAAAACATGGTTCGCACACTCTAACAGGTTCATAAAGTTGTTCAGCTGGCAGAGGAACCAAGTTTCGTGAACAGTCTGCGCAGAATATTTTGCCACAACTCCTAATCACAATATAATAAAATAAAAAATATAACATAGATGCACTAACTAATAAAACAATAAAATTTATTAAAAAAAAATCTTTGACTTGCCTACAGTGATGCTTCCGTCTTCCCAGCCAAAACTTGTTGTCGCACGACATACACTGGGTAACTGCGTGATCCGGCACCCACAGGGTTGGCTGAGCATCGAACGACTCCACAGGTTCCCATGACAATGTCGTCTCTCCTCCTGTGCTGCTACACACGGATACCTTCAAAAAATTACTCCACCCTCATTCTAATACATGACTAGATAAATGTATCAGTATACCCATATAAGGCTGCTAATACTTATAAATTTAAAACAAGTTACGCACATCATCATCAGTTTTGTCTGCTATCGATAGACCATTCACATCAGGCATAGTTGTTGCTTCAATACCGTTACAACGATGGCTTGCTTGCCGCAACAGTACTAGCCGAGTGACATGCAATTCGTTTTGAAGAGCTGCTTCTCTAGTCTAAAAAACCAAACATTTTAATAATAGGTTATATAGATAAAAAATATTTATTATTTGTTGATTTTTTTACCTTATGTTCTAAAGTTAACTGCTGAAGTCTATTTTGTACATCATCTACAAGTGGTAACAGTCCATCCACAGTATTTAAGACACAATTAGTAGGACTTGAATACCGATCTATATTAAAAAATATAAATAACATTATTTTAACAAATAAAATACTTAAAAACATTATAATATATTAACATTTAATATTAAGGAACCTTTTAATTGTTTACCTATACTATTTTCCTCAGCAATAATACTTGACAATGAACTAGAATTTGTATCTGAAGATTTATCATCTCTTTCATCTAAAGATATATCTTCAGGCTTTGAAAACTCTATGCATGGACTTTCATTGTTTATCACAATAGGTTGTTGATCAATTCTTATTAATGGATCAATCATGCCTTCCATTTCCAATCTAAAATATAATGTTTTTAATAGGGTATAATTAGTATAATGCAAATACAAATTAATTAAATTCAAGTTAAATAAGTTCTTAAGAGAACACTGCACCAGTAAAAGTAAAATATTGTTTTCTCACTAAAATAATTATTAAAACAGTGCTGTGAGCTCCCAAAAATGTTTATATTTTGAGGCAACTATCTTTGCAGTAGCAACACAGCTGCACCGCATTAGCATTATTTATTAACTGTATTTAAATCATTGATAAATATTTGTTAAATATATAGGCATTACTAATAAATAACTTACATAGAATTACATATTTCTGTAGGTTTTGTTAGCTGAGGCCCATCAGTAAATGGTCCAACATATAAATCTCTCCAAAGGTTTATATCTCTCACATTACAACTAACCCATAAAACCTAAAATCAAACATAATAATATTGTTTAAAAAGAAAATTTACAGAATAAATCAATAATATTACGTCATCAGGTTGAGATGAATATAAATGATTTTTACATTCAGCAGACGCAGCCAAATATTTCCATACAGAAAATGTAGCAGTACCTATCCCCGTACGTTTTCTTTCGGCACCACTATTGCACAAAAATGTACCAAAAAGATTTGAGTATGTGTGTTGCGCTAATTTGACTAAGTACGTTTTGGAAAATTCAAAAGCACAGGGATACTGTAACATCACATTATGCACGCAGTCCAACCATTGAATAAATACCGGACATCGTTCATTTGGATCTTCACCTTGACCGCGATCAGCAAATTTATGTCCAAAGTCTAACCATTCTCTTTGACATAAAACACGAAAGCCATCAATAGTTCGATAATATGAATCCAACATTAGTTCGGCCAAAGAAGCAATTTGAGGAGTACGATCCCAACCATCTGAACAGTGTACAAGAACTGGTTGCATTTCAAATTCAATAGTTGCTGCAACAGTGTTAGCAGCATGAAGAAGACCACTTATATTATGTAACCATCGTGTGTTTTCTAGTAAACTGTACCAGCTAAATGAAATATTAAATCAATAATTAGAAACAAAGAAAATAGGTTTACATGATATTTTGAATGAACATACTTTGGAAGATCAGGAGGTGAAGCACATAGTTGACGGAGTAAATGAAAACTTTTTCTGACTGCATGGATATTTGCCAAATTCATGAATCGAATTTCACATCCAGGATAATATTCAGGACATTCACATCCTCCACCTCGAGCACGATTAGCTACAGCTGATGGATATGATCGTGCATCAATTACAACTAATTTCTAACAAATTTATAACAAAAGAATTATTAACTACATTATAAATCTTTTTTTCTTTTTTTTTTTTGTTAAAGTTATTTACTTTAGGTTTTTTAGATTTGTTTTGGCAAGATTCAGCAATTGCTTTCAATAAGTCTTCATCTTCAGAGGATCTCCATCCTAACCAACCCACTTCAGGTTGGGAACATCTTGCTAAAATAGCTCCATTACTCTTATGTCTAATATTTTAAAAGTCACAATAACATGATAAGAATTTTTAATATGAGAAATTTTTAGAATTATTAATTAATAAATTAAATTTATCATTTTACCTCCATACAATAACTGGAACTCGTTTGGAACTACGAAATTTAGCAGCAGCTTCCAAGGTTTGATCAGAAATACAAGAAGGAACCAATAATCGATTTGGATAAGAGGTACATAATTTATAGTCCCAATTTACTTTAGAAATACGCCATTTAGAGTTATCACTTAGAACACTTATATTTAGTCTTTCAATCTATAAAATGATTTTTAAATTGGAAATATTTAGTTTAATATTAATTATTTCTTAATTAATTTACCTCTTTCATAAAATAATCATCATCACCATCATGGCCTAAGCTTAAAGAAATTTCTTCATTACATTGATCCTCAATGGCCCAAGCATGGAATGCAAATGCAAAAACATCTTGAACATTTTTTGGTGATACTATTACTCTGGTTAATCGCTTATACCATTCCAAACATAAATCATTGGTAGTAAAAGTACACCTAAAATAATAAAATATATTATCTTGAATTAATTAGTTTAATAAATTTTTCTTAAATATTTTAATTGATTACAATTAACTTGGTTTTATAATCATATTTCTAATAATCAGTACCTCATATAAAATAATTAAATTTTTATTACTAAAATTTTTATTTGACATATCAAGGAATTATAAATAAATTACAAGTTAAATAATTGAAGAATAAATTATTTTAACAACAATCCTATAAAAATATTTAATAACATCTAAAACTTGTATACCTAACAAAAAACTTTTAAATCTTAATATTTTTTTTTTTAAATATGGATTATTTTGGATTTAGTAATATATAATTAATATACCTTTGAAATAAAAATTAGATAAATTAAGTTCAATTTATGATATATTTATAAATTGAAATAAGAGGAATTAAACTTTTATTTGAATAAGAAACTTCCTTCAGAAGTGTTAATATAAATTTAATGTAATTGAAACATAAATCAAGGTTATATTATAATATATATTGAAATGACTATAAGTCATAAAAAGATAAGGTAAATATTTTAATTTTGACTTTGCATTACATTTTTTATTAATAAGTATACTTTTATTATTTCAAAATATCATATTTAATAGTTCAATACTTTATAGAATTAGTTACTTTTGGGTGAGGTGGATATTTATTTAACTTCTATTATAAATTATAATGGATTTGTTTGAAAAGTAAGTTATATAGTATTATGAAGTTTGTTTTATAATAATAATAATAATAAAAAGTAATACAATGGTAGAAATACTTAAAAAAACATTTGAGCTATAGAAATTACTAAGAATGAAAATATAATGTTAGTAGTTGCAGATAACTTACAAGTATTACTACTATCAAGATTAATATAGATAGATACTACTGATATGTATATATTTTACAAATTTAAATAACAAATGTAATTAATAAAAAAAAATATTCTTTCAACAAAAAATTATTCATAAGAAGACTATTTTTAAGATGAAATTAATTAAGTTTTTGTGTTAGCCTAGAAAATAATTTATGTTTAGTGTAGCTTACCTGCATGTCCGAGCATCTTTGCAACTAATTATAATATAAAATAGATCTTTTATTTCAATCATTTCAATAAGACCCAATGGTATGTTGCTGTCTTGAATGCCTCTTTTTCGTTTTGACCCTTCTTTAGATACTTTGAGATAAAAACGATAATTGGATAGTGCTAACACAGTGTTATTGGCACCGCGACCTAAGTATTCAACAGATTCACCAGCTAAAGGAGCAAAAGGCACCAATGGTGGTTCTAAAGTTGGAGGACTCTCATCGGTCTCCAAATCCCTTTTTGGATACAATTCAGAGGCTCGTACATGACACATAGACTGAGTCACAGTTGATGAACTACCAGATGAATCAGATAACTCCATCTAAAATGGTACAAAATGTGTTACTAAACCTTCAATTATCTAAAATTTTAAATCTATAATATAAGTTATGTACATACACATATTAAATTAATAGGAGATAAAAATGGTTTAAAATTTAAAGTGAAGAGTAATATGAGCAACCTTGTATTTTATATTTTTAATATTTAAGTCTAGTATCTATCAGAGATTAATTATTTTAATCAAATAGATCTAGATAAATCTAAAAATACTAAATAGTTTAAATTTGTAATAACATTAAGTGAGATCTGTTAAATTTGTAAAATTAAAAAATATGTCAAGCATTTACAAGCTTAATAAAATTATAATAATACCTTTATGAAAAGAAGCTTTTTTCATTAGATAATATTTATATAATTACTTACAATAACATAAAATAAAGTAGATGCAATTACTTAAATATAACCAAAACGGTTCATATCAAATTTAAAAAAAAAAAAATGTCATTCAAAACTTAAATCAAATTACCAACTAGTACTAACTATTAAATGATGTATGTTTGTTTGTACCTTTTAAATTGATTTTTTATCAATGAACTTGATAACACGACCCACAGGATGTTTAAAACTATTTAATGATTAAATTTATTCTTATTGAATACAATAGGAAATAGGAACTAACTAATTGCTATCTATTATTCATAACACACTACTATTCAATCTACACTTAAATGAAATTCAATATATGTTGATACCACTTAACCACACTAACCGTTTAAATAACACTGGACAGTCAAAGGTCAAGCAAAATGTTCTGTTTACAATTTACATTATGTCATGAATAATCATCGTCGGAACACTCGGAAGTAGGAAGGTAGATAAAGAAATATTAATTCCCGGTAAATCTTAGTTATTTTTAACATATTTAGTGGCTTTTATGTTCCGAGCACAATATAATACAATACATTAAAATAATATTAATTATCTACCTCATCGGCTACACATATCGACTTTTAATTTGACATTGGTGTACAGTACACAAATTGATCGGATATTAATTATATAGGTATACTTTATCCATTAAATATTATTTATTTTTTTTATCACTCCAATCAACTGATAGTGTAACCACAATAAATAAAATTTATTTAATCTTCGTATTGTAAAATTAACATTTGCATGACATTCTAAACAATTCGAACGCGTAATTGTGTAACAATAATGATGATCTACATAATTCATGTTTTTTTATCAACAAATAACATTATACAACAACTGGAAAAGAGAGAAAAATAATGTCCAGTCATTGAATATCAAATTGCACTAGACAACCTTGTCGATAATACAATACCTATAATATAATATTAAACATCTGGTACAAAATGGGACATAAGAGTAATGTTGCACGGGACGTTTTACTCGTTTTCTGTTTCAACATTATCAGCGGGAAGTTAACCCTCATTATTCAGTAAAATTGCATATTTCGAAAATGGCTAACGTCGCGTTCTAGTTTCTCGAAGGTCGTTTGCTTCTAAATGGTCATAACTATATTATAATCGCTTTTTATTAATTATTCATTATCGTCTATCGTTTAATGGCGGTTTACGCTACGAAGGGAGGTTAACCATCCAAAGTCAGATTTGTACCTTTCTCATCCCCATTGAGAAAAAATTAGCGAAATCCGGAAAACTCACTTTTTCAAAATATGATTAGTATTTGTGCATTTCCGTCGGACCAGGAAGACGATCTTTCTTCGATGTGATGTAGGTCCGTTGGCAGAGCGTTATTATGATTCACGACTGCAACAGTGATTATTCCCTAATATGCGATACAATTTTAGTCACGGCGAACCGCGGAAAAACCATCAAGCAGCGTACCGATAGGTACGTCGTACGGGTGTTTTCCACGGACGAACATCATGTCACTTGACAGTTGACGATGATAAAATAATAATATTATTATTGTTGTTATTATTTAAATTATTATTATTGTTGTCGTCACGGATGCGTCAAAGACAGGTTGGCGCATGTAAGATGTAACAATGACGATAACAATTATAACACTGCAAGACACATCCACGAAACGTCGTCCGCAACGCACATCAACGAAAATACCGAATTACTGATTCGACTGAGAAAAATGGTAAAAAAATACGTAATAAAAGTAATTATTGAACGTAAACACGAAACAAAACACAACATGAAAACATATAGTGTAGATTGTGTAGAACAATGCGATAAAAAAAATACTATTGCATGAATAGTGAGTACCAGGGTAACTATGTGGCTATGTGCAATGAAATATTATTATGTTAGAACTTAGGTGTGTATTTATATATATATTTAGCAACAATCGCGCTCAAAGGATGAAATTCGATTAAAAAACCCATATGACAACTACAGTGGCCGCCCGTCAATTACAGATGGTTATTAGACGCTCAGGTTGGTCACACCGTCGGCGCTTCAACCTTAATCATTATCTTTTATAACTGAAACGATAACATAATACACCGACTAAGATAATATCTCATATAAGAATTACTATAATATTAAAATTAACGCAATGCTGAATGCATCATAAACCGCTAATGTGTATGTAAAGTGATAACGCAAAGCAAATTATTTCAATATTATGTTTGGTCTTAAAATCGTCATTCGTATTTAGAATTTAGATTAGAGTGTACGGTGTACGATTCTACAATATTGAAAATACTAATTTAATTAAGTTTAATATTTCTTCACGACGATTTTCAATCCTGTATTAATTTTATTTTTTTATTAATCTTATAGTTTAATTTAATCGTTTTATCTTTGAATTTTACATTCAATGATCGTTTAACCTTCTCGCATTAAACATTTTCGTAATTAAAATAATAGTAACATAACAAACAAATTAACTCGGGTTATACACTCAATTAAACCTTTGGATCATAATCTTACAACTACTCTATGATTTTACTCTGCGTTAGTAATAAAATCATTATTTTTGACACCATCACTGTGTGCTTTAATTAATAGGTACATCAAACATTCTTTTACTATATGATATAATACTTATAAACGTATAAACTTGTGCAAAGTTTTAAATCAGGTGAAGTTAACATTGCCATCAACCTCTTAAAAGGACATGGATAATTTTTATGGCACAATCAGCCTATAGATCTATTATTTTTTTGATTAATTCAATTACTATACTTGTGCTAAATCCAAAAATGTGTGATTTATATTTTATTCAAATCTAAAAAAAGTATAAATTTAAGTTAAAATATTAGATGTACTTTTAAACAGCTTTTCCTTGAAGACTGACAAAAATAATTTAAATTATATTAAACTATGTAGATACTCTCTATCTACCATAATCTTAAAGTATATTACTTATTACTCATTACTGATTTGGTACATTGAAGTATAAACATTAAATCTTATACATTTTAATACTTATAATTCTATTCAATTAAAACTGCTAGGCATCAGACTATTTAAATTAAGAAACAAAAACAACTATAAAAATTAACCTATTAATTAATAATTGATTAAATTAATTCATGGTGCGCTCTTGTAACACAATTATAACATACTTAGTACTTAATAATAATAGTTAAACATTTTGATTAATTTTAGATCAGTTTTTAAGTATTGGTCAAAATGGACATAACTCCTAATTTAGATGGTGGAGTTTTGAAAGAGATATTAGTACATGGCAATGGAACGGATAAGCCATTTAAAGGGTGTAGGGCTTATGTACACTATACTGGTTCACTTTCTGATGGTACTGTTTTTGACAAGACTAGCAGTGTGCCATTTCAGTTTACAATAGGAAAAGGTATGCATAATTTGGTTAAAATTTTCTGCATTTTCAAATTGTTCTATTTATTTTTTATTTTAGATATGACTATAAAAGGTTTTGACTTGGCTGTATCTTCAATGACTTGTGATGAAAGATCAACATTTCGATGTCATCCAGATTATGGTTATGGATCAGATGGTTTTGAACAAATCATCCCCCCTAACACATGGCTTACGTTTGAAATACACTTAGTGAAATGGACATGGGAAGATATCAGCCGGCGGAAAGATAAAAGTATTACAAGACAAATACTAGAATATGGAGTGGGTCATGCTACACCTAGTAGTGTGTCGTTAGTTAATATTCATTTAGAAAAAGAAGAAAATGGTAATGTTATTGAAGAAAGAGATGTAGAATTTAGATTAGGAGAAGGCAAAGACTTTGGTATTTGTTCTGGTATAGAAATTGCATTAACTAAATTTAAAGCAAAAGAGAAGTCAAGATTGTTTATTCATGGAAAACATACATTTTTGGAATTTGGAGATGATGAGTTCAAAGAAGTGTATGTCATCAAACTTAATTTTTTTGAAAAGGTTAGAGATTATTGAATAATTATAATATTGTTATTTACTTTTTCTCTATTAGTTTTTAATTTGAGTACATATGTTATTATTTACTATTGTTATACATAGATAAAATTTCCCTAGAATTTTTTTATAAATAGGGAAGGGTTTCACAATTTGATGTAGTGATCCACTGACCTGTTATCTACTATATTTATTATTATAACATGAAATACACAAAATAAAAATGTATAAAAGTATGAGTGTATATAACACTCAGACCCTTTTTAGTTAAACCAGCACTGAATTATTTTTTTTTTTTTTTAGTTTTTCTCAATGTTTATAATACTTCATATCAATTATTAATAATAAAGTATAAAATAATTGTATGTTATAGTTTGAAGAAAGTTGGTCATTAACATGTGAGGATCGTATTGAACAAGCAAAATTTTTCAAACAAAAAGGAACAGATTATTTTAAAATGGATAATTATAAATTAGCACTTAAATTCTATAAAAAAATGGAAGACTATCTAAAAAATAATATCTCAAGTATTTATTTATTTATTTATTTTTTAAAATAAATTTTAATTACCTATACTTTTTTCATTTCAGTTGATGAAAATCAAATGAAAGAAATCAAATTTCTTTCAGTTACATCCTATTTAAATTCTGCTTTATGTAATTTAAAATCACATAGACATACTCAAGCAAAAAATGACTGTGAGTGTGCACTAAACCTTGAACCAACAAATGTCAAAGCTATGTTTAGAAAAGGCGAGGTATGTATTCATTTTATAAAGATTTTTTATTTATTAAATATTGTATACAATTGTTTATTCAAAAAAAGTTAAGCAGAGTACAAAAATTAAGTGAATATAAAAGCAATAATTTACTCTTATCAACAATTAAGAATTTTGAAATTAATTAATTTAAAATATATGTCAAAGTTAGTATTCTCTTAATACATTTTATAAATTACTTATTTGTTTTATTGTCGATGTAGTAATTTGTTTTTAAGAAAACAATTTTTTTCATGTAAACAATTTTTATTATTTATAAAATCTGCAATGTTAGAATTTTAAAATGAAAATTCTATTTGCTAGAATTTTGGCTTGAAGAAAAACTATCAAAATTGTAAAATACATACCTAATATACTAATATCATTTGTGTGATAAAGCTCTTTTAATTTATCTATTATTGAATAACATTTCTGCACAATATTTTAAGACTTTAGAATTCTTATATTTTTTTTTATATTTTAAAAGGCTTTAGTTGGTTTACATGAATTAATAGCTGCAAAACAATGTTTTGAAGCTGTTTTACAACAAGAGCCAAATAATCGTGCAGCTATCGCGAAAATAATTGAATGTGATAAAAAATTAAAATCACAAAAAAAAATTGAAAAATCTGTTTATTCAAATATGTTTGAGAAATTCGCTAAGAGAGATAGTAAGTTGTTTTTATTTTTCAATTTCTTCAAAATGGTTTTATGAATTATTTATTTTAGCTGAAAAAGAAGAAGAATTTCTAAGTCAACAGCCCGATGTTATGAACACACTTGGTGAATGGGGAGATGATGAACGAGAACGAGCTCCTACTGAATTTGAGAAAGAAAATCCCAATATATTGATGTTAAACACAACAGGCTATTTTAAAAATATGTAAAGTACTCAGTCTATGATTAAAAGGTAACTAGGTATTTTGATTGTTTGGATTAAATAAATAAAACTTAAATCAAAAAATTAAGACAACTGTATAACTAATGTATTTGTTCAAAGTTACAATTTTTTGTTAGTTTGATGTATTTCATATATTTTTTGTTAGTTAAATGATTCATATATTTCATACTTCTTACGTTTTTCAAAATAATAATAATTTTACAGTAAAACAAAAAAAAAAAAAAAAAAAATCATAGTATAATATATGTAATAACAATTTTTGTCCTGGTAGCTTCATTTTGTATTTAAAAGCAATATTTTTGTTAGGCGTATCAATTAACTTGTTAAATTTGTTTTCATTTCCATTCAGTAACCAATGCCAAAAGAATTAGAATACGGTGAATGTTTAATTCCAAACGAATGTGCTGGTGGCAAATCAACTTGAGCCTGAAATAATAAGATCAGTATGTCAAATTGTGTTGTAAATTATTGTACATATACATAAGTTTATTATAATGTTTACTGTTTATCTGAGATTATTTTTTTTAAAGACACCACTACTGTCATTATAAAAAAGTTTTGTCAGACAATGTAAAATATTGTTTTGGTAACTTTCAAGACCCATTCCGGTAATGCATATCTTTGCTCGAATTAATTTATTAATCTTCCGAAGTTCTTTTTCTTACAATTTAAATTGGATAAACATTAATTAAACTTTAATACAGATTTTTACATCTTACATATCATCTAAGAATATTATTTAATACCATAATAATATGTTAATAAATTTAATTAAACCATTTAAAATGCTATAAACTTAACAGATATATTAATATTTTTGTTTTTATGTGATTGTTTATATTTTTCTTTAATTTTTTTCTTATGTAACCATGGACCTAATAATATAACACTTTAACTAGTCTGTCATATTTTATCAAGTGTTAGAGGCGAACCCTCACTTGGTTCTACATATATGCTAAGAACTTAGAACATAACTAAATTTAAATTTTATAACTACTGAATTTTATATTACTAATTACTGATCAATGTGAAATTTAATTTATTTCATAATTTGTGCTTTATAATGTGCATTTTTAAATTCATCATAATCTAGTCAAATTGTGCATATACTATTATTTTTCTAATTTACTCATAGTGCGTTATACAAATTACTTTGAAGTGTTTATGCTATATGCACTGACCTATTCTTGTTCATATATTATTCCTTCATACTGTGAATGTCTTATACCAAAAGAATAGGATGGTACAGATGATTTTAAAATTGTCACCTAAAATGTTTCATGTATTAATTTAAGATTATTATATACACATTATATTCTGGACAAATTCTATATTAAGTGACCCATTGCTGACCATGTTTGTTTTTTTTTCTTATATTTATAAATTTATGTAAATGTGTGATAAATAAATAATTAAATTGATATGCCAATTACTGACATTTTTATTTCTTTGTAACCATGTAAATAACACAAAATTGAACCATATTTTTAATAAAAATAAAAATTGTGTTGCTCACTAGACCTGCATAATATGTTGATAAAATCTCATAAACACTAATTAAACATTAATATCACAATAAAATTGTAATTTGTTTAATAATTGCTAGTCTAAAATAAAAGTTATTCTAAGTATTTATATTTTAATTTTGTTTTCTTTCCTTGCGTACTTTGCTCTATTAGGTACCTATCTTTAGGTGCGCTCCACGATAATTGTTTATTGATCATTCTAATATTTTACAAACATATCTAAATATACTCGTTTGAAATATGGCAATAATAATATGTTTGTTAGATAATTTAAGAAATTAGTTCATATTATGATATCATAACTAAAATAGGTATATTACATTGTGTTTTAATAAAATGTAATTTATGATTTAGATATAAGTATACAACTATTGAATCAGTAATTTTTGACATTCATTATCTTTTATTGTCTCTTTATTACTGAACCAGTTAGACGCCTCTAATAAAGTAAATAATGAGCAGTGGTGCACAGGATTTTAGTTAGATACTTAGAACTAACTCATCAGGAATATATTACGGAACCATTTGTTAAGTATTTTGTTAATTTTATATTTTGATAAAAAAAAAAATAGGTACTAATTTGTCTAAACTTGGATTCTATCTATTGGTTGTTTTTTCTATATATACATTTATATAATTTAGTTGTTTTTACACCGAAATTAATTGCTATATAATCAAATATAATATGTTAATTTTTTCTTGGATAGATTATTTCATTATTAAATTAGTAGAATATTTGGGACTTAGTCATTTGTAAATTTCAAAAATTGAATGAATATTCGAAAATATAAACTTTTTTAGAAAACATTGTACTGTAGGTACAATCTGTCAATAATCAACGAATAACATATGCAAATACCAAACCAAATTATATGTTCATATAATCTATTATGAGTAGTAATTGTCCTATTTCTAAAATGTAAAAATAATAAAATTATTTCATAAGACCCCTTGTAAGCTCGTTTAGATATTTTAATTTTGAAACTAGTTATGAGAATTTCAAAATTGTAAATTGTAGTTAAAGATTTCTTTATTATACTATAATATTTACAATAATAATTAATAATACACTTCTATAATATAGATTCGAAAGTCTTGTGTACAATTTTTTTAACGATTATTGTTTATCATAATTTTGCATAATTGATCAAATCAAAATAAAATTCTTATATATTTATGCCTCAATAGATGCCACTTATAGGTAAAAATTAAAAAAATCCAAACACATCCTTCCATTCCCATCGTCAAAATTACTTTCAATCACTCGTAAAAAAATGTAATCATGTCTTATTGCATTAAATATTCATGCTTTTTTACTTACTGAGCAACAGTTTTATAAAAGATTTATTGAGAAAAAACCAAAAAAAGTTTAAAAGTTTATTTAAATAGCTATAAATATCACAAAAAGAGCAAAAGTAGATATTTTGGAAGTAATACATATTATTATGTCTAGAAAATTTATTCTGATAGAGATACTTGATAAAAATTTCATGTCTCTACTCTCTAGTAGGTACTCTACAAGTTTTTGAATAACAACAACAAACGAAATCGACTTCATTAATAATCAGTTTAAAGTTTTACTTAAAAGTTCATTATTCCTGATTATTTTAAAAATAATGAAAATATTTCACTTTTAACTGACTAGACCCTGTTTGTTACTAGAAATCACTTTCAAAGTCGATTAAAGCTTTTTATACTAATGGCGGCTGACAATATATATAAAAAAAAAATTATTAAAATAACCCCCTAGGTCAGCCCCTGGCCGCATGTTATATGTTGGGAGGGGGCACTTCCCATATCACATTGTGGGAGGATAGGGCTCCAATGCGTGCTGCAATTGTACATCCGATACCTTATGATGGATATGCGCGTCGTGACTAACCTTTTCGGGAGAATACGCTCCCGGGCCGGGTCTGGGGGAATTGTCGCCGGGCATGTTGTACCGGGCGCTGACCGTATACGCCGGCGATTTCGGTTTAATACTGTCTGCGCTTACGTCGTTGTAAGCGCCCGGGCCGGGGTTCAGTAGCCGACCGTCCGGGAATTCCTTGGTACGGCCGGATATGCTAAACGACGGGGCCGCCTTGAAGTGACCCTCCTTGGCTGCGCCCAATACCGTCGGTATGTTGTACACGTTAGGTGCCGGGTTCGGGTTCGGCTTATCCACTTGCGTTTTCAACCCGAACGTGTACTGCGGCGAGTGTTCATGGATCACCTTCTCCGCCTTTTCCGGATTGTAGTCGCCCGGCGCCGGGAAGTTGTCGGGCCTCACTTCCTTGGGCCTTGAGTGCAGGGTAGACGCTGGCGGCGTGTCTTTGCCTGCGCGCAATTATTGCCATTATTATATAAAACAAAATATATCACATTATACGACTTAAATGGTGACGGTAATCCATTTAAGTGGTTGCAATCGTTAATTCGTCGTAACGAAGAGTTTTAACTTTTTGTAAATTATTTATGTTTGCGTGATTCGATGTAATTTCAAAACGAGAATTTTTGAAGAAAAATTGACTTAATACATTTTTAATTAATAATTTCATATTGTCGAGAACAATATTTTTCAGAGACTTATTAATACAGAAAATTTTAATTTCAAACGAGTAACTAATAATAATCATTCATTACTCATTAGTTAATATAATGGTAACTTATAATTTATAAATATTACTCTGCTCGTCGAAACTTTAAACATTTATTACAATTATAATTTACAACTAATTAATTAGTAACTGCTCGTTTAAAATTCGATTTTTATGCATCGGAATATTCTAAGAAATTACCTCTATGTAAAATAGTTATATTTTTGAAAATATTACTATAAATGTCACTACACTTATGTTAATTATAATTTCTCAGTCATTAGTATATTATTAATGATATCGTCACGCAACAAACTCAAAAATTTACTTAAATTTTATGAAAGAAATACAGAATATATGTTTTATAAAAGAAATTGTGGTATTTATTATACATATACCATTTGCTATCTTCCAATTATGCTTTGAAGTCTGATATAATATTTAAAATAAAATCCATGAAATATTTTATAGTTATACCATTTAATAAAACTTATTTTCAAACTGTTTGCAATGAATCAATGTTTGCACATTTTGTAAGATTTTCGTGAACGAGGACGATATAATACAACAGCACTATTGCTACACTAAATACGGCGTAATTGTCCAAGTATTGAACTGTATGAAATATGAGTACCTAATTGTATTCAATAACAGGTGGATACAGTATTAACTAAAAGTGATAAATATTTATATATTTACTATTATTATTATGTTGATCTTACCTTTTGCACTCAATCCGGTGATGTTATATTGACCCGGTCCTGGTCCGGCGCTGTCATTTTTTTCATTGTGTCTATTAAATTTAATAAAAATTATTAGTTTTATAAGACTACGTTACCTATTAAAATATGATTTAAATGCATTTTGTCAAAATAACATACCTTGCACCAAAACTAAATGCTGGTGCACGTCCACGTTTAGATTCTGGTACTAAATTTCCTGTAAAAGAATTTAAATAAATTAAGTATATTTTTTACCACAGATTCTGATTTTTGAATTAACTTTAAATAATGCTAGAATCATACACTTAAAAAAAACTTAATCGTGTGTGCAATATAAACGTTTACTATACAAATTTCAAAAGTACAGGTTTTAAAATCAGTCCTACAAATTCAAGTCTTTATACTTTTAGTTCGAGTGAAAAAAAAATAATATCCTAACCTCTGACTTTTGGTTGTACACTTATATAGAACTCTGGGTAGGTAGCCATGATTAGTGTATCTATATATATATATATTATTTAAACGTGAGACAATTTTTTGTCAAATCATATCTAAAGTTATACTGAACCGATTTTCAAGATTTTTTTTTTTAACGAAAGTGCTTGGTGTGCAGAT